GACACTTCATATCGAGTTTAATAAACAAAATGTAAAAGTTAGGTAACCTTAACGCAATAATGGAGAGCCACTAATTAATATTTAATCTCCATAAGAAATTGAAACTCAAAATTAAAATTTTTCTTTATTTTTGTTTAACTCACTAACTAATCAAATAAGAAAATAAAAATAGTGTTAGTGCAAGTTGTGGAGGCAAGTTGGCGAATTCTGGGTCTACTTGAAAGTGGATGGAGATGACGTTTGCTATCTTTATATATTAATATGTTGGCTTTTAAAGATTCTGAATGTTGGCTATGCTCTGCCTTTGCTGGTCATGAATGGCCATCAATATATTATATCATCTTCAGTGTATCTTCACCAATAACCAAAGAGTTCAGCCGTCTGCTTATCCACACAATGACATCTGCCCCTTTAACAAATGTGTACTGCCTATGTTTTTTATTTACAATTTTGATTAAATATTCCATCATTTGTTAGTACTCAAACTTTATTGGAATAAAAACGGGGAGTGAATCCCAAGAAAAAACATTAGTATTCTTGTTGAAACTTTCCCAGAATTCATTTTGTGCATGTTAACATTTTTTGGTCACAGGCCCATAAGAATTGAATTGTATAACTATAATAATAAAATACTAATATTGGATTATACAACAAAGATAAAAACTTATGTCAGTTGCTTGAAAAAAATACACATTATATGTTTATATATCATAAAAATGAAGTGCAATTCATTCTGTATAAATTATGTTTCACATAATTATTAATTAAAAATGAGTAAATCTTTTGATATCATCGGCATATCCTTCTATTAATAATTAATTATTTTGTAGTTCACAACCAATAACAAAAGAATATTTTATTTATATATTATGGTTTTTGATAGATTTTATTTATATATTAGTTGAAGGATTGAGCATTAAGAATATGTTTGGATAAAAATTAATAAAGGAAAGTGAAGGAAAAAGGGAAGGAAAGGGAAGGAGAGTAAAGAATTAGTATTAATTTTGTTTGAATAGATTAAAAAAGAGAGAAAGGGAAGGGAAGACTATATTTTTTATTTAATTAAATAAATTAAAGAAAAATAATTTTAAAATTAATTAAAATTTTATAAATTTTTATATATAATTAAAATTAAAATAGAAATTTTAATTTTGATTTTTTTAAGTAAAAAATAAAATAAAAGTAAATCAAACTTCTCCAAATCTTCACAAATTGAAAGGATTAAAAATAAAGGATTTGGAAGGAGTCCGTCCTCCCTCTTTCTACATCCCCCTCCTTTAGCTTATGTTTGGCTAAAAATTAGAAAAAAAAGGAAAGGGGAGGGGAGGAGAGGAAAAGTGAAGGGAAGGAAAAGTTAAATATTAATTTTGTTTGGAGGAAAGTTTGGAGGAAATGATAATATTTTTATTTAATTAAATAATTTAATTAAAAAAATAAAAAAAAATAAAAATTTTAAAATTTATTAATTAAATAAACAATTAAAATAAAATGTTTATATATTTATTTAAAAAAATAAAAATAAATTAAGTAATATAATTTGTTTCAATCTCTCCAAATTAAAAATAGACGAAGAGAGTGGATTCTGTCTCCTCCATCTCCCTCCTTTTCATTAAAATTATTTATCCGAACAATTAATGTGTTCTCTCCCCCTCACTCTCCTCTCGTCTCTTTTGTCTCCAACTTTTCCAACCCAAATAAAGTGTTAATGACGTTATTCAACCAAAAGAGAAGGCAGACATCTCCTTTACTCTCTCTTCCTTCCCCCTCAACTCTCCCAATTCAAACAAAGACTAAATCTCTGGATTTATGAAAGTAGATTGCATCTCTTACATCGAGTTTAATAATTTTTTATATTAAAATTTTCAAATTCAAATTATAAAATAAGTAAAAAAAAAAAAGTCATAAGAAGATGAAATTTATTCCTGTTATATTTTATCAAATAGTCATAGTGTATTAAAACAAAAAAAGAAAGGTGTAAATTGCTCTAAATGCACTATGCGTTCCCAAAATTGTCCAAAGCAGGGCAGTTTCACCCACAAATCTGGATCAAACAAAAATATCTGCGAAACTTAAGAGTTGGGTGCAAGTGCAACCTCGAAAATTAAAAACGGGTTTTAGCGCATTCTTTTGTCGTGGGACAAAACATGGACACGGATGGACCCAAAAGATGTTAAGAAAGGGGGCCAAAATGGGCAAGTGGGGGGGCGTACACTAAACCGGCATCACAGACATGGAATCGTGTAGGACACGAGGACTTCACGTGAGGACTGTCCCAGACCACCCCCAGTGTGACGTCGACTGGACAGGAGGAGAAAAGTCTCCGGAACTCTACGGGCTGGCTGGCTGGCAGCCTGATATCGTTGACCAGGACGCATGCTTCCTTCGGACCACCGGAGAATATTTTCTTACACGTGATTATCCCACCTCATCCTTATCTCATTCCATCTCATCCTTTTTATGGGTCGAAATGCCTGGACCATTTCTAGATGGGCTCACTTTTTTTTTTTCCTTTTTTTTTTCTTTTCTTTTTTTGTGATTTGTAGGATCAAGAAACATATGGGCTTACTTTTGTTTCCAAGAGAATCGGTTAGTTACCATTTTTTCTTTTTTAACCCTAGGCCTGTTAGCATCCCTCATTCTGTGTCTCTTCAACCTGTTTTCTTATTTTCCTTTTTTATGGCCAGCTAATTTAGTGAGTATTTTACAAACTGTTTCGTCCACTGACATCAGATAAAATTTTACCTTCAAGGATGACGAACCATGACCCATTAATTGATTTTCTTTTTATGGGACCCATTAATTGATTCAGAAGCGAACTTACTCATGAGCTAGAGATCAAAGGATAGAAGGTTTTGTTCTCAATCCATGATTAGTGCCTGCAAACAAAGGTTTCTGCCAAAGCGATTTATGAAGGACTTGAGTTGCATAAAATGGCCAAGAGAGCGAAAATCATGACTAGATTGTAATATCTAAAAACATGGAGGTTTCAATTGAAGTCGGGTTAATTGATATGTGGTGTTTGAGTTGCATTGAAGACTTTCTCTATTACAGAAAATTTTGAATTGTTTACTCAATCTACAACATTTGAGTTGGAAGCATTGGAATACCCCTTATACTAACATTAATATATTTTTCTTTGATTGCTTAATTTTTTTTTTTTCTAAAGGACTCACTAGATTATAACACACAAACCATATGATTGATGCTTAATTATATATAAATTCCATTGAACCCAAAAGTTGACAAGATGGACTTCATATCAACCATAATTTGGCAGTTGTTTTGAACTAAGACTACCGCCATACCAATTAAACAATTCAAAAATCCAGTCTAAATTTTTTCTCTTTTTTTTGCGTAGATCTGCATGCAGCTCAACGTTCGAAGTTTAATTAGTGTCTGTATTCCTTTGGCTTCCATATGTTTTGGGCATTCTTCTGTTTAATTTTCAGACATATAATATAATACTAATGCTATATGGCTAGCTTAAAATGCATAATGTAGGACCAAAACAAAAGCTTATCACTTGAAGGCACATGGTTTCGTTCCTTACTTTCATGGCTGCTCGTTTGTCTTTCATGTTGTCTTGATTTACGAAGAAAGCCAAAAAACATCAGAGAATTCCCTTGTGCAAAATTCCAAAGCATGCCTCAGAGAATTTTTGTTTGCCTCCTTCCTTACGTCCGCTAGTCCTTGTACCTCAACTCCAGGAATCGTCCTCTGAATTCCCCCCCAACACATTATAATTAAATCTCTCTTCCTTAGCCTATGTAATTCTCCTTATATGCTTTTCCTTGGATTCTTCGTAATTATGTTATTTCCCATAACCAGTCAAAGGATCGCTATACTGTTTTACTTATTAGCTCGATAGACAGACTTATTATTAAAGGAAGCAAAAAATTTAGTCAGCTTTTATTGATTCTCTCTTATAAATCTGTAAAATGGACATTGTGAAGCACCAGTACTTATGTTAATGCCAAATGATGAGTTAATGTCATGATCTGCATTGTATCCTATCAGTTTGAGCTAAAAATATCAAAATTTTTGTTCCTAATTAATGTATAAAACTCTCTACAGGAGCAAGGACAACCGAATTGTTAATTTAATTACTTAATTATAAGGTATAACTATATATATCCTTAATTATCACCCATGATATATATTAGAATTCTGATTGAGTGGTCTATTTAAGGTGGGGTTGGGGGGTGGAAAAGGGAAGCAGTCCTTGAATAAGGGAACAAAAGAAAGTGGGTCACCTGTACAGAAGGGTCCATTTCATTTCCAAGGGACTGATAGAAGTCCAAAGCTGGGCTATTCATATTCATATTGCTTATTCTATGTACTATATATAAAATCCTGTGGAGGTACTCAACTGGTCCAGCTGGATATATATATATATCTAAGATGTTATTACAACCAAAAGTTTGGTGACTGAGAGAGGAGAGAATGTTTGAACTATTTTTGATATATCTATCCTGTAGGCGGGTGCGTACTTTACATTTGCTAAAACCTAAACAGAATTTTAAGTTTTCCCTAGGATCACCAATTTTTTTTTTTTCTTTTATATGGTGCATTTTCACAGATAAATTAAGATGATTTAGTTGAGCAAAAAGTGACCCAGAACACAAGTATATAGCATAGGCTGCAAAATAAAAAAATTTTTAGTGATCACAAGAAAATGTGTACAATCATGACAACGTTAGGTTGGAAGAGGCCAAGTCTAAAATGATTTGTTCATGATATGACATATATATGCTAATGTATTGAGATTGCGATATATGGTCCACATGAGGTGAGTAAGCCTAAGGCCCTAAGCTTAGTAACAGCCTTTAATTTCCAACCCTTCCATTATATGCCAAAATCCCAACTCCCACATACAGACAACCACCTGGCCGGCAACGCTCACATGCCACCAAATTCCAACAGGACACAGGCCAACCCCTTGTTTATATCACCTCACCTCACTTCTCTCTCCTTCTCTCTACCTCGCTCTTCCCTGAGCTGAGCAAAACAAAACAAGGAATCAAAAAGTGTGGAAATTGATCTGCAGACCCTATTTGTAGCCATGAAAAGGTTGCTCAAATCACTGCACCCCTTTTGAATTCAACTAAGTTCACTTTTGGGGATGAGAGTTACTACTCCTGTGCTTAGCAGCAAAATAAATCCTCCCCAAAGCTGAACTGTCTATTTCCCCTTTGATGCACATTAGCAGAATTCTCCCAAATCCCTTCATCTGGGTCTCTAGTCTCTACTTCTGCTTGTATCGTTTCCCAATGGCAAGGTACCAACTCCTAGTCTCGTCTCTTTCTCTCTTCCTGCGTTGTTCTGCTACTTAATTATTATTATTTAAAAAAAAAAAATCCGGCAAACAAACCAGATAATGAGGCAGTGATTAGAGCTAACAAAAGTGTTTCAGTTCACCGATGAAGTGTTGGATCAAATGGTAGGTGATTTGTTTCAGTTTAAATAAGATCTCGAATTTGAATCCTTGTGTACGCAGCAGCTTTCATTGGGAGACTCACCCACCATTTCCAAGTGTGCAATGCAGGTTGTGTCCGCGAATTAGTTGGAACAAAACCTCGGATACTAGGCGAGAAACCAAAAGAAAAAAAAAAAAAAAAAGTGTTTCAGTTCCTCAGTTCCAGCCATCTGTTGGTAATGTACTTTATTGTACTCCCAACCCGAAAAATTATCCACCACTCTAATTGGAACGTGTCTTCCACGCTCCGATCATCCTCGTGGGTGTAACAACATTATCATTAATCAAGCCCCAATGTTCGGGTTTAATTACTTTAATTTTCTACCCGTAGTTATCCACAACCAATAGTTAGTAGCATATTTTTTTTTACAAGAAAGCACTTTTGCACTTCAAGTTCAAATGGAATTGCAAAATAATATTTTCTTACTTTTAG